TGGTAGTGGCCTTCCAATGGATATTCCTTTCTTCTTCGGGTCCCTCCTTACTCCAATCTATGTCTCACACAGTGTCTTAAGTGATTTTCCTTATACATAAATCTAAATATATTTCTCCTCTGCTCAATAAACTCTAATAGCTCTCCATTACCTCTGAGCTAATATATATATATGTATATATATATATATATATATATATACACACACACACACATATATATGTATATGTATATATATATGTATATATAACATATATATGTGAGTTCTTTCTGTTCGTTGTATATGGCCCATAATTTTTCATCTGCATCTTTGCACCATCCATGCCCCATGTCTAGAATGCATTCTCTTCTTACCTCTGTTTCATAGTATCCCTAACCTTCTTCAAGACACAGCTGAACCTTCCTGGTTTTCCCAACTGCTAATGTTCTCCCTTAATAATGACTTTATTATGAAGTTATTTAGTCAGCTTCTACCTTGTATTTAACTACTTTATATTTATTTTGCATGTGTACATATTACCTCCCCCAGTAGAATATTAAGTGCTTGAGAGGATAAATTGTTTCATTTTTTTTTTGTCTTTACATTTCCAGTGCCTGGCACATAGTAGGCACTTGATCAAAATGCTTGCTGATTGACTGATTTATATCACATGAAACCTGAAGCAATATTGGAAGGCTCCATTATCATAGAATCACAGAATCTTCGAGTTGGAAGGAATCTCAGAGGCATTTATTCTAACCCCAACAGCAACAAAAATCCTCTCAACAACATTTTATAAGTGTTTATTTAGTCTTTGCATTTAGATTGCTAATGAGAAGGAATAATATCAACAATAATAGTAGCTAACATTTATATAGCACTTACTCTGTGCCAGGCACTGGGCTAAATACAGTAACCCTGGGAGGTAGATGCTATTATTATCTCCATTTAAAGATGAGGAAAGTGAGGCAAACAGGGGCAAGTAACTTGCCCAGGGTCCACTAGAAAGAGTCTGAGGCAGTATTTGAACTCAGGAAGATGAGTCTTCCTGACTCCAGGTCTGGCACTCTATCCGCTGTGCCACGTAGCTTCCCTGGTGCTCTCATTATCCCTATTTAAAGACAAGTGGTTAGGTGCCTTGCCCAGGGTCACACAGCTAGGAAGTGTCTAAGGCTGGATGTGAACTCAGATCTTCCCAACTCCAGGCCCAGAGCTCTGTCTACTATGCTACTTAGATGCCACAAGGAACTCATGTCCTCCTTTTGAACAGCTCTAAGTTTTAGAAAGTTTTATTTCCCTTAAATAAAACCTCAGTTTCCCTCTTTTCACCATCCATGCATTGTTCCAAGTTCTTTTCTTTGAGGGCAACCAGACCAGTCCAAGTCCACTTTTACAGCTTCCTCTAATCCCTCAAATACTTGAAGATGGTTATTTGCCCTCTCTAAATCTTCTTTTTAGAATAATCATTCTTTGTTTCCTCATCTGATCCTCTTTTGGCATGAACTCAAGATGCTTTGGCTATCTCGCCTACCTTCCTCTGGACACTCTCCAGATTACCAATGTCCTTCCTAAAAGGTGGCTTCTGAAATAGAATATAGTACTTTGGATGTGGTCTGACAAGGTCTGACAGATTACTACTTGCCTTTCGCGTTCCTTGTCCTGGATGCTTTTTCTCTCTTAATGCAATTTAACTTTTTTTGGCTGCCATATCCCATTATTGATTTGTATTAAGCTTATAGTCCACTCAAACACATTGTCTTTTCAAACTAAGTGTGTCTGGTCACCTTGCTTTTTTGACCTTGCACTTGTGCAATTGACCTTCTGAACCTACGTATCAGTCATTAAATTTATTCCTGATATCATAGAATCTCAGAGTTGGCAGAGACCTCAGAGGTCAGTCAGTTCAACTCATACCTGGGCAGAAATTTCCTCCAAAACGATTTGGAGAAATGTTTGTCTAGCCTCTGCTTGAAGACCTTCAGGGATGGGGAGCCCACTACCTCCGGAGAGTCTGTTTGGATATCTCTGATTATTAGGCAATTTTTCCTTACATCAAGCCTAAATTTTCAATTCTGGAACTTCCTCCCAATATTCCTAATTATGCCCTTTAGGACCACACTTTGACTCCTTTCACATGACAACATGAACTATTTGAAGATAACAATCATTTTGCCCTAAATAATTTTTTTCTCTTAGGGTTTAATATTCCAGTCTTTTACCTGATTCCTACATGGTGTAATTTTGATTCCTTGCATCAACATGATGGTTATCCTCTGGATACACTCTAGATTGTTGACCTCCTTCCAAAAACATGGCATCCTCATCAAAACACAGTACCCCTGGTGTGTTCTCACCATGGCAGTATACAGTGGTACCATATTATCAAACAATAGCAGTGATATTAATCATAATTGTAAGCTCCTTGAGGTCAGGGACTGTCTTTTAGCTTTTCTTTGTATCTCCAGTGCCTAGCACATGGTAAAAGCTTAATAAATGCTTGCTGACTGTCAAAGCACTTTGCTCAGATAGTACCAGTATAAATATCTCCATTTTACAGATGAGGAAACTGGAGCTCCAGAATTCCAAAAAAACATATGATGATCGTATAGTTTGTATCAGAGCTAGGATTTGAACCCAGGTCCTGTTTCCAGTATATCATACTGCTTCTTACTCTGAACAACTGATGCTTTTGAAGCAACCTAAACTTGAATTAATTCTTCTCCCCTGCCCACATCCCACATATATTCTCAACCATGAATAGCAGGGTATATGTACACATTATAGGCATATGACACCTAATTTAGCGATATGGAAAATAATCACTATGAATTTAGAATTAAAACTCTATTGGGTTGTTTTATAAGTGCTAGTATTTTCATATTCATATGGAGCTCTTCTACATTTCATTGCCTTATCCTTCCTTTGACACTGTCAGGGTAGATAATGACCCAACATTCGAATATTTTATTATTCTCAGTTCTTGTATCTGATGATTCACCTTCTACTCAGTCTGGTTCTAATCTGGATTTCCCTTCTCCTTTCTCTCCCTGCCCCCATGTATATCTTCATGGTACTGAAATCTGACAACCTGATAAATACAGGATTTTGAAGTGAACTGAATATTTCATGATTGAAGTGAAATAAATAGTAATTAAAGATATCATAGGTTTGACACCTTTAATTTTTACTTATTTGATTGCCTAAGAATATGAACAGTATGTTTATGAAAATGATCACTGTTAACATTTAGAATTATTAAGTTTCTCTTTCAGTCAGAAGTACAATCAAAAAGATTTTACTAAACAGAAATTTTCAACTGTTTCCTTCTGCAGCCTCATGTGTGTTTAATTAGGTTCTCAGAAATTTTGTTCATTTATTCATTCAGCATACCGACTGTGTTCAATGTACTAAGGACACAAAGAAATGACACAGTTTGTGTCCTCAGGGAGCTTATAGTCTATTAAGGATACAACACTTAAGCACATAAAGAAATATAATTTGAGGAGGACACGTAGATATCTCTTCCATATACCTTAAAATGTCTTTGATGTCTTGAATTCATATATCATTGCTTAATCAACATCTGCCCTCTATTCAATAAACTCTAGTGGCTCCCTATTACCCCCAGGATCAAATATAAGATTCTCTTTTGGAACTGACCTTTTCTATCTTTTTAGTCTTTTTATACCTTCTTCCTCCTCCAAGTATTCCTCCACTCAGTGACACTAGCCTCCTTTCTGTTCCTCACACAAGGTACTCCATCTTCTGAGTCACTGGCTCTTCCCTATGCCTGAACTTGCTCATTCCTTATCACCACTTTCTGTTTTCCTTCAAATATCAGCTAAAGTTCAAACTGCTGCAAGAAATTTTTCTCAGTTCCTTTTTTTAATTTTAAGATTTAATTTTTAATTTATAGAATAACACAAACATTTCCATGATGTAGTATAATAAAAAAGATGATTGAGTATGAAACTGCACATCTATTACGTACAACTTGTTATTTCTTTTAAATATATAATAAAGTCATCATGTAAATTTCTTTTTTTCTGCTTTTTTCCTTCCCTCTCCCTTCCGTGCCCTAGACATAGTTACCATTACACACAAATATGTATCTATGTGTCTATGTATATGTATATATACACACATATACATATACATACATACATACATACATACATACATACACATATATATGTAAAACCATTCTATGCACACTTCTATTTATCCATTCTTTCTCTGGATGAACAAGTTGTGGTATATGATTGTGGTAGAATACTGTTGTGGTATAAGAAATGATTAGCTTGATGATAGACTTTCCCAAAATAATGAAGAGTGAAAGGAGCAGAACCAAGAGAATGTTGTATACAGCAACAGCAATATTGTTTCAAGAATGGCTTTGAATGAATAAGTCATTTTGACTATTATAAATACCCAAATTAACTACAAAGGACGTATGAAGGAAGATGCTATCTGCATCTCAGTTCTTCGTAATCTTGGTGCCTTCCCGCTGAAATGATCCCCTATTCATCCTGTATATATCTTATTTATATAGAGTTGCTTGCATGTTGTCTCTTCCCATTAGGGACTGGCCATTTTTTGCCTTTCTTTGTATCCCTAGTGTTTGGCACAGTGCCTGGAGTAGACTAGGCTTGTGAACTGACTGTTCAGGAGTTCAAAGTAACACTTTCCCTCTAGATTCTTTTCTCTTTCTGTTTGATTTTCATGTTAAGGTAATTTTTTTGTAAAATTTAAAAATTGTGCATATTAGATATAAAAAGAAGCTTCTGTTCCCTCAGCTTAGTAATGAGAACAGCTGGAAAAGAAGGAAATGATGAGTAGCTGAAAGAAAAGGGGAAGAAGGCATAAGAAAGCCATTAGATTAAGTAGGGGCCAATATGAAATTTTTGGCTTCAGTGATTTGAGATAACTGTTTACAAGAAGGCAGCTGTAAAAACCAAATCTGGCTTGGTATCCTAACTAACTTGTATTACTTTATCCCCTTGTGATTGCTCTCTTTCCAGAGTTAGTTTGTTGGCTAGCTATTGCCATGGCACGTTGGAGTGTGTGAAACTCAGTTTCTGCAAGGAAATCACCCTGGATGTTGTTAGAAAGCTTTGCAAAAATTGCAGACGGTAAGAGCTTAAATTTTCTTTAAAAAATGAATAGGAAATCTAAAGTGAGCCATGTAATTGTTGCCTATTGATTTACCTTCCTTTTTTTTTTCTTTTCTATTTTGTGGTACGCTATTGTTCATGAGTACAAAAACATTTCCCAAAAAACAGCTGAAGAGTATATCACATAATGAATAATAGAGAACTTCCTTTTTATTTGTGTTAGTTTTGTGTATTTTTTAAAAAGTGTTCAGAAAATATTTCTTTTTCTTTCCCCCCAAAAAACCTTTATAAGCTTGTTGGTTTTTTGTTGTAGAAGCATAGGACTTAGAGCTGGAAGGGAACTTAGAGATTATCTAGTCCAGCTCCTTTATTTTAGAGATGAAACCAAGGCCTAGGAAGTTTATGACTTGTCCAAGGTCCCCTACATACTAAGTAATAGAGCTAGGTTCCCCAAAACAGGCCTTCAGACTGAAAATACAATGCTCTTTCCACTTCACCACACTGTTGGCCAAGAGAAATAAGTTAAAAAGACATTTTGAATTACATTGATTGCTTTTTATTTATAATGTAAGCATTACTATGTATCATTATTATATTTATAGGTTCTGCTTCTCTGACAGCATTTTTTCCCATGCTTTTGAAATTATGTGTCTTGAAGAGATACTTAAAATTTACTTTATTTAACTCATCACTAATTTCCAAAATATATCAGACAGATAGATGGTACATTAGAAAGAGCTCTTGACTTGGAGTTAGGAAGACCTGAATTTGAATCCTGCCCCAGACACTTACTGATCATGTGATCTTAAACCAGTCACTTAGCTTCTCTCAGCCTCAGTTTCTTCATATGTAAAGTGGAGATAATAATAGTACCTACATCATAGGTTTATTGGGATCATCAAATGAGATAGCATATGTACAGCACTTTGTAAATTTTGTAGTGTTATATATAATAATAATAATAATAATATTGATAGTATTGGTTTCAGGTATGCTATTAACACATTCACATATTATTGACTTGTTGACTTTGCTTGGAAAAGTCCAATGTATAAATTGTTCCATGGGACTGGCTAGGTCCCTTTTGGAAACATCAACCTTTCAAGAAGTAAGAGTTCTGTTTAGTGAAGTTCACCAAAATGGAATAGTGGAATATATTAGCTCAAAATAAACAAGGTAATTAACAGAATTAGAGAGTTAATTTAGGTTAGTCAGTTGTAATGACGAAAGCATTAATCGAAAATTCTCTCTTTTTTAAAAAATAAAATATGACATGATTCTTTTAAAGGCTAACAAATGGTAAAGAGTTCTCGATTTGGAATTAGAGAACCTAGGACCTGGGTAGTAACCAAGTCACTCAATTTCCTTGGGTCTCAGGGATTTGAATTAGATGATATCTAATCCTTCCAATCAATCAATATAACAATACATTTGTTGAGTACTTGCTACTAGTCAGGTACTGGCTAGGTGCTGGAGAATCCAAGACATAGAAGAAAAAATCCCTGCCCTCAAGGACTGAATGTTGTAGGGGTGGGGAGTGGGAATAGACAAGATATTCCCATAGAAGTACATGCAAAATGCATAATTTAAAAAAATACAAGGAAGGAAGCATCAAAAGCTAGGGAGAGCAAGAAAGGCCTGATGAAGAGAAAGCGGTAAAAGTGAGCTTTGCAGGTAGCCAACAATTGTAAACAAAGGTAACAAAGGATATACATGGGGGACCTCCTGAACAAAAACACAGAGATGGTAGATGGAAAGTGGCTGATCAGCAAGTAGCCAAGTGAGCCTGGCATGCAGAGTACATGAAGTAGAGCCAGGCGGTAAAGTTTTAAATGACAGAGATACTTGTACTTGATCTGAGAGGTACTAGGAAATCCCTGGAGTCTAACGAGGAAGGGAGTGACATGGTCAGACCAATGCTCTCACTTTGGCAGCTGTATAGAAGGTGCACTGGAGTTGGGAGAGACTTGAGGCAGGGATACCAATGAGGAGGCTCTTGAAATAGTCTAGGCAAGTGGTAATTATGGTGTAACAGTTAAAAAATTTTAAGGTAGACTGAGGCACAAAGTTTTGAGCATGAATAATTTATTAATAAAGCTTGAATTTACCAATAAGTAGGATCTCAGCTTCTCCAACAAAGCTAAGACCCAGTTGTGGGTTTAACAACATTTTTTATAGTTTGAGGGTGTACAGAAAACAGGAAGCATCATAGATGGAAGACAATATGATTGGATGGAAATTGGGAATGAGAGCTAGTAACAACCCCCTTCTTCCCTTCTGTGACTAAGACTTTGATTATTCATTGTTTGAGCATCTCAAAGGACAGAGATAGCAAAGCAGACATCCGTGAAGGAAAGCTTGGTGGTATAAAGACACTAGACCAGGGTCCCTGGTATCCACCTGCAGCCTTCAAAGGTAACAACAGATTTTCTTGACACAAGAACAGAATAGTAATTAACAGGAGAATTAGATTTCTAAACTTAATTCATTACAGGCCAACTAAATTTCTGGATTAAGTTCAGAGACGAAGAATCATGATTTAGGACAAAAATCAATTAATTATAAATAGTGTCAATAAAAAAGACAAAGAATCAGTCTGATTATTTCAATTGCCTGAACTGGAGTAATGGTGATGTGAGCATAGAAAAGCAAATGGATTCAAGAGATATTGGGAAGGTAGAATTAACAAGACTTGGTAATTAATTGAATATGTGGAACGAGGGAGAGTGAAGAGTTGAGGATGGTGCCAAGGTTTCCAACCTGAGAGGCTGCAAAAATAGTGGTACCCTTGATAAAAATAGCTTCAGAAGAGGGAGGATTTTATGGGAAAGATAATGATTTCTCTTTTGGATAAAGGGAGTTTGAAATGCCTATGGGATGTATAATCTGAATTTTCCCATAGGCATTTGGTGAAAGGAGAGAGACTAAAAGGCTGGATATATTTATCTAGATGTCATTTACATACAAGTGATCATTGAACCTATGGGAGCTGATAATGAAAGTGCATAAAAAAAAAAGAACCCAAGATAGAGCCTGAGAGAAAAACCATAGCTAGAGGGTATGTTATGAGTAGTGATCTACTGAAGGAGGCTGAGAAGTAGTGGTTTTGCAAGTAGAAAGAAAATTACAATCTTATTATATAATTTACATTGTCCCTGCCCTGCAAAACCACCTCCAAAAGTATGGCCTCTCTCACTCCCTCAAAAGCACTTGGTGATAGAGTATTGTGGATTTGACCTTTAGCATTTCTGCGCAATCTGATGTTCTAATATATTCTCCCACGTCACCTTAATCTCATACCTTAGCATTAAAGACATGCAAATTAAGGTACAGGGTAAGGGTAGGGGGTGGTTACCATGGAAAAAACATATTGGGATGCAGGAGACCTCAGTTCAAGACTTAGGTCTATAACTTACTATCATTTGACCTTGGGAAAGTCATTACATCTGTGTAAGCCTAAGATTCCTCCTTAATAGAATGTATTTATTTAATAATAACTGTAATACTTACCTCAACAGAACCCCCTTATCTATAGTGGAACTAGATAACCTTTGAGGTTCTGTGAATTCATATGGTAGCACCCGAAATCCTGATTTCAGTATCTCTAATTCTAGTACTTGGTTTAAGAATTAAAGTCCTAGATTATTGTTCAACTGTGACTCCAGGGGAATGGCAAAATTGACCTTTATTTGACTATTCCATCCTGCTATTTGCAGAGAATATAGAACTTCATAATACACTCCAGAGGAAAGAGTGTAGTTTTATAGCATTGTGGCCATCTCCCCGACTTGTCCAGTTTGCTTTACTTTTCACTTCTGGGTCATGTGAACATGACTCTGTAATCTAAACAAAATAATTGGATCCCTTAACATCACCTCAGAGTGTCAATTCTTGGGAGCTGTCTTAGTTTCATTTATGCCTTTCTGCTTTCAAAACCAAGAAGATGAATAAATTTATTTTTGGTTGTTTTGGAAAGAACCAAGAGAAAGTGTGGTATACTGGGTATAGAGTGGGCCTCAAAGCCAGAAAGACCTGAGTTCAAGTCCCAGCTCTGATATATACTGGCTGTGTGACTGGGCAAGTCACTTAACTGAGTCACTGAGCAAGTCACTGAGTAATCTCAGTTGTTTAATCGCTTCAGTCGGGTCCAACTCTTTATGACCCCATTTGGGGTTTTCTTGGTAAAGATAGTGGAGTGGTTTCCCATTTCCTTCTCCAGCTCATTTTACAGATGAGGAAACTAAGACAAACGGGGTTAAGTGACTTGCCCAGGGTCACATAGCTAGTAAATATCTGAGGCTGGATTTGAATTCAGGTCTTCCTGATTCCAGGCCCAGTGCTTATCCACTGAGCCACCTAGTTGCAGAGAAGGTGTCAGTCTTCATTAGTAGAAGCATTTTCCTATATTAATGAAATCACAAGTCCAGTTCCTATCACTTTACTTTGAAAAGAAGTATACCTACACATCTATGAGCTATGATTTCCCTTATTACCACCATTGGGGATAAAAGTCATGATAGAGATGTTTTGGGGTAGGGTTCAATAGTAATACTAGAAAGCTACAGTTTTGCCATATATTCAATGTTCAAGCATTGATCTTAGATTATTCGATTTTGCTTTTCTGAAACGAGAAGACTGTGTTCAGGAACAATGCTTATAAAGTTTCCAAATGAATTTGAAAATAGTGGTGAAATTATTCAAAAGGAAAGGATGCTGTGGTATAGTGAAGAGTGTGATGGACTTGGATTCAGAAAGACTTGGGTTCAAATCCCACCTTACAAACATGCTTACTAGCTGTGTGATTCTGGGCAAGTCATTTGCTCTTTCTAAGCCTCATTTTCCTTATTTGTAAAATGGGAACACATGTAATGCTTGTTTTACAAGATTTTTGTGAGGCTCAAATGAGATATTTTATGTAAGGCATTTTGCAAACCTTGAAGTGCAAAGTAAATGTCAGTTATTATATAAGATGTCTCAAAAGTCTTGGTGGATTTTTAAACTCTTAAAGCTTAGTACAATAAGCATTAAAATAGTAAACCTTTAATAAGTGTATATTGACTGACTATAACTATCTCTATATCTTTGCCAGAGTTTTAGATGAACTCTGAAGATTTTATAATGACTCAGTATAGATCAGGCATCTTTTTTATGTATCATGAACTCCCTTAGAAGTCTAGTGAATCTTTTGGACTCCTCAGAATAAAGCTTTTAAATAATTGAAGGAAACACTAAATCTTAGAGTTCAGTGAAAATAAAGATAATTTTTTTTCCCATCCAAATTTAAAGACCTGCAGAATTCTATCTACAGACCCCCAGGTTAATAACCTCTAATTGGGATCTTTAAAAATTGCAAAAGAAAAACTGTTCCCAAATCATAACTATTTGTCTACATCCTCTCTAGGCCTCAGTTTTCCCTCTGTTCTGTCCTTTTGACCTCACTTCACTCTCACATCATGAAGAAGAGGGTCTGAATCGGGTGTGGAGGGGCTTTGGGCTGCAGGGGGAGTTTGGAAATGGAGCATTTCCATAATATTACATAATGTCACTCTGTGCTCTCGCCATTAAAGGAATCCTCTTTTCCCTCCTTTCACATCCAACTTTATGTTCCATTTATGCTTAAGGATGTATTACCTTTCTCTTTTCCTTGCTTACACAGAGAGGAATGCTAGACTCCACAGCTGTCATTCCATTCTCTTCTCCCCTCAGCAGACACCAAAGGGGTCAGTCCTTTTCAAGTTTGGTATTATCTCTCTCCTTTGAGAAACATAAGCCAATAATCCGGTTTACTTTAAGTACTTTTCATGCTTCAAGAATATCCTTGTATTTCATATCTAGGCTTAATTCCCCCCATTTCACATAAGCCATGGTTTTCCTTTAGATTGAGGATGCTGCATCTCTATGGCTGCCATATCTCTCCAGACTTGAGCACAATAAAAGACATTTATAAAACAGTGGAAATATTTCACGATGGTTCTGCTTCTACATGCTAATGGAATTCCAGCAATGATGGATTTTATTTTTCATCAGGCTTCAGTCAAGATGTAAGGTCTAAGATCTAAGGTCAGAAGGAAATTTCCATTTAAGGTAGAGATCTAAATTTTTCTTTAGCTTCATGCAACTGGACAGACCCAGTTATAAGATCTTAGAGCTGATTCCTTTAGGTAGGGAATGATCTTTCCTACTTGGAATCTCTCATAGCATTTTGTTTGAAATTTAACTTCTGCACTTGTTATATGTAATTTCTTTGCCTAATTATGTATCTCTTATCTAACCTACTGGAGTGTAGTTCTTGAGGGCTGGGTTTGTGTTTTTTACTTCAGTTTTTATACCAAAAACTTATCATGATACCTTGCATATAGGATGTGCTTAATGTTTGCTGAATTAGATTTTTGAATGGAGATTTATATTTACCTAAGAAGAAAATGCATTGAAGAATATGTTTATATATATGTATTCAATTATGTACTGTGTATTTTCTGAATTAGATAAAAATTATAACACAATAATAAAGTGTATAGTATAACATCCTAACATCTATTTTTTTTAAAAAAAAGCTAGTATTTGGTATTATGAACTTTAGCCATTGCCATTTGTTTTTCTTTACTCAGTCAATTAATCTATCAGTCAAGAAGTATGTACCAAGTATGTGTGCCCTGGTCAGTCAGTCAATAAACATTTAATAAGCAGCAACTATGTGCCAGACACTGTGCTAAGTGCTGGGGATACAAAGAAAGTCAGAAGACAAGCCCTGCCTCTGAGGAACTTACAGTCAAATAGGAGAGACAATATACAAATGACCATGTACACACAAGCTATTAACAGGACAAATTGGAAGAAATCAATGGAAGGAAGGCAATAGAATTAAGAAGAACTGGGAAAGGCTTCCTGTAGAACTTAGTCCCACTATGTGCTCATGGTGGGAATCTTCTTTTACCACTTTATGTGCTGGCCTCTCTATTGTTGGGCGAATCACCCGTGTTTTGGGTTAGTGATTTCAGGCTGTGTTGCACACAGTAGGCACATAATAAATGTTTGTTGAATTATCAAATTGAATTCCAAAGCTTCAGCTTCATAAAGTATATTCATAAAGATTACAAGGAGTTAAACCACGTCATAAATTATGTGGAAAATCAAACAATTTTATGAAATGACCAGACAAATATACTCAAAATATTTAACCAAGGCTGAATCCAAGATTTTAGAATTTCATTAATGGAGAAATTAATTTTCAATGTATTATTTATCCAGTTTTATACTGTTGCTTGTACATAGTAATTAAGAAATAATGGATCAGGATGGTAGGTCTGATCATCTGATGAAATACTTTTGAAGATCTACTTATCAATTTAATTTATGAATAGAAGTTATTAATAAGTTGTCTCTTGCACAATGTCAGCCATCATATTTACTGTACCTTTTGAGAAAATATATACACATTTTTACAGATATTTTGAAGAAGGCTTTTATGTTTGGAAAGACTAATGCAAGGAGAATTTACCATTTAAATGTTATACTTAATTTTCATCATAAAAGAAATCAAAGTAGTGAGAAATAAATAGTCCTAGGGGTGAGATAAAAGAGAAGAGCCCAGGAATAAGTAATAGAAATGCTGGGGGGAAAAGATAGAAGGAGAAATGCTAAATAAGAATAGAAAATAGATAATGCGAATGAAGTGTAAGTCAAAATAGCCTAAATGCATTTTTCAAAAAATGATATCACATAAGGAAAGATAAGAGTGAGCCATATGACTGACTCAGCTCTTTCACTCACTGAAGGAACAAATCACTGCCTTAAATTTATTCCAGAAAGAAACATTTGACATATTTACTGAGGAGCTTATGTGAACCATGATCTATGTGGCTAATATCCTTTTTCACATAGAACACATTTCAACCAGTCTGTCCTTTCCATGCTCACCCAAAAGTGATTACCTCTGCAATCCTGCTTAAAATAGCTGCTGTTTAGTATTGGAAAATATCCAGGTTTGTCCTTTCCCTCTAGTGAGATCTCTGGTTTTTAGCAGTAATTGGACGTGAAGACCATTAGTAAGGGTAGTTACTGCCCAAAGAGATTCTATAAGAGTTAGGGTTTCCCAGGCTGAAGGGGTCAGGAGAGGCCAGAACTATAGTTCAAGAAAAGGTTCTGCAAATGCAACAAGAGGCATTTACAGAACTTTATCAGGGCTGTAGAGACAGCATGGCCCTATGGTTAGACTGATGGACCCAGAACCTGGAAGACCTTGGTTCAGATCCTGCCTCTGGCACATCCTGGCTATGTGAATCCAAGCAACCCACTTATCCTTTCAGTGAGAAACTCCCTAAGATTATAAGTTGCAGAGAAGATGTCAACCTTCATTAGTCTAAGGTGTTTTCTCATCCCAGGAGTTGCCTCTACCAATGATATCAGAGGTTTCATAATTACTGAACTTGATATAACACTTTAAAATTGAAAAAGTACTTTCTACAAACATCCTTGTCAGGTAGGTGATTGTTCTCATTTTGCAGATAAGTAAACTGAGGCTCAGAAAGGTTAAGTGACTTGCCCATGGTCATATAGCTAGTAAGAGTCTGGGGTGGAATCTAAATCAAGTTCAGCACTCTTTACAGTCAACTACCTCTACCTCTCTAATAATTGCTGACATTGATCTAGACGTTATACACATCCCCCTATTTGATCCTCATGATCCTGTAAAATAGGTATGATCATTGTACAGAGATGATTGTGGGCCTAGGAGATAAATTGTTGACTTGGAGTCCAGAAGAGCTGGGTCTAAATCCTACCTCTGACTAATTATGTGATTTTGAGTGATTCATTTACCCTTCATCAGCCTCAGTTTCCTCAACTGTAAGTGGGGTTAGTAATACCTATAGCACCTATGTGTGTGAATGTATATATTCTCATCCACCTTTGGTGTCCACCTAGCACTCAATTCTCACCTCTGGCTTCAAGAAGCTGTAGCCTGGGCAGTGTCCTTATCCCAGTAAACTGTATCAGCAGATGGGCTATGCTAGGTTGAGGATAACAGATTGGCCTCAGACATTGAAGACGCCAAGGTCATCCACTGCATCTCAGGCCATCGTCAGTCATCCTGACTTTTGTTTTGAAGAAAGAGTGAGGCTGACAACTATGTGCAACTCTCCCTCACTTAAATCCAATTCATGCATGAATCAAGACATTACCTGTGATGTCATTGGTCCTCTTCAAAAACAAAAAACAAGCAACAACATATATACATATATGCATAGATATTACGTATATGCATAATGCTTCCCAAACTTTAAAATACTGTATGTATCCATGATTGTTATTATAATCATAATTATTATTACAAGGAAAATGAGATTTCAGAAAGGTGCTTGCCCATAATCAAATAACTAGTAAGTTTTAGTAATAGGATTCAAACTTAGGTTTTTCTTGACTTTGTGTCTAGTATTATTTCCACTAAAACATTTATTTAAAACAATAAAATCCTTGATAAAAAGGACAAACTTGTTGAAGGTCAGTTCCTCAGTTCATTGAAGGTGATTTTACTGTATGGTTCTGCTCTGCATGAGAAAAGTTAAAAAGCAAGTCATCATCCCAAAGGACCAGACTAGGACTAAGACCCCAAGAGCTCCAGTTATAGCTGCATCCCCAAGACCACCAGCCCTCCTTCTAGCCTTGTCCCTGCATGTATCACTGAGGAAAACAGCCCTTGTGGGGAAGGGGCCCATTATCCCTACTCCTACCAGTTCCAAGTGCCAACCAAATGTTACTGACAGGCAGGTAAACCCAGGATCTCTAGAAATAGCAGTTGCTCCCACCTCTCATCCTCTGCTCCTTTTTCCAGGACCACAGGCCTTGCTTCCATTCTGGCTCCTGCAGCCATCATCCAGGAAAACATCCTTTGTGGAGATGCAGACTGGCAACTATCTCTATAGTTTACATAGCTATTTGAATACCAACAAAAGAAGGCTCTCATTACCAAAGTCTTGGCACTGTAATGTCACAAAAAGATATGGTTTTATCAACGGAGATTAAGTTGAGTCAACATAAATTTACTGAACATGCACTATGTGCCACTGTGCTAAGCACTGGGTATACAAAGAAAGGCCAAAACAGCCCTTTTCTTCAAGGAGCTCACAATCTAACGGACCCTAAAAATAGTACATTACCATGGTCTTTGCTGCCATTACTTAAGGACATTTGGACCTCTCCATCTGTTCTTCAAGCTAAATATTTCCTCCAATATGAGTAGTTATCTCCTATTAAATGTAAACTCCTCCAAGACAGGAGCTGCTTTGCTTTTCCATTAGGACTCCAAGCTTAGTACAGAACTTCGCATGTAGTGCTTAATAAATACTTTTTAATTAATAATTCATTCATTCATTTATTCATGTGTATAGACATCTAAGGTGAGTACTTCAAAGGGCTACACTCATTTGCATATAAAAGTTTGTATATATTTTTTAAAGAAAAAAGAAAAAAAAGAACAAATCCTTTTCTCAGGGGAATAACTATAGACTCTCGAAAAGTTCTTGATGGAAGTGAAGTTTTCTTTAATAATAATAGCTAACATTTACATTTCATTTTAAGATCTGTAAAGTGTTTTACATATATTATTTCATTTGAACCTCACAATAGTTCTAGGAGGTAGATGCGATTATTATTCCCATTTGGCAGATGAGAAAACTGAAGAAGGGCAGGATTTGAATTCCTGCCTTTATAACACTAAATCCATCACACTATTTACTAAGCCCCTTTGTTTTATTATATTTTTCTTATTCTTTATGTTTATGTCAAAAGTGTACTGATTCTAAGATGCTGGCATGGTTCCTTTAAGAGAAGGTGGTTCAAAGCACAGCAAACTAATAAATATTTATTGAAGTGAATAGGCAGTAGGCTTCATTCTAGTTTGATTTGGTTTTCCTTGGATATCTTGCCAGTTTCCGCTTGACTTGACTTTTTACTTTCTGCCAGATGTAAGGGTAGGATTGAAACCACTGATACAAATTAAATGAAGTAAAAATGGAAATGTTCTAACTTGAAGTTTGCTGTGTACCAGGTAAATGCCATTAGAAATATTTTTGGATCATTGTCTTGATTACCGCCATTTTCTGGAAGTGGTCAGTGTCATTAACATCTGCTAATGTTTGGTAGTGGGATTTGCAGCTTGAACACAAGCAGCAGCTATTCTTTAGTCTTCCACTTAATTCAGAATGGGATATATGAACATTAAGTTATCCTTTCGAAGTAATAACAATTAGTTTTGCAAGATTAGCATTACTAAATCCTTTTATTGGGCCTAGAATGAAACATCATCTACTGATGTAGGTAGGCACTTCTGCAAAATAGCTTTAGACAATTAACCTTGGTACCTAATTAGTTAAGAATATGTCTCAATCAATTAATCATCCAAAGGCCCAAGACTGAGTGCTAAAAGACTTTGAACAGAAATAATGTAATACAAAAATGGTGTTTGGATAATTCGAGGCAATGGGCACTCTCTAAGGACCATCTGTAAATTATCAAGCAAGTTGAGAAGGTATTGATTTCCAGGAGTTGGACAAAGTGTGGATTTCTAGCACATCTGTGAGGAGGAACCACCTTTGAGGAAAGGGAGGTCTAAGCTTCCCCTTGGCCACATCTCCTTTCTCCATTGCTCCACCCCACATCAGAGGAGAACCTTCTAAGTCCATGA